GTATTTGACCAATATTTATTGCCCGACGGTGGGGCATTTGATTAGAAATTTGCTCAAAAAATCAAATGCCTCACCTATCTATGTCCGCCCCGCCCCCCCCCCCCTCTGGGGCTTAAAATCGATAGGTGCATTAAACCCATTGAGACGTAATGTGCCCCAGTGCCCCTACTTTTTTTTACTTGTCTAACGCCAGTAAGTACAGTAAGTTCAGATTGTCAACTAGGGATGTAATAACAATATACGAAGTAGACTCTCGCTTAAGTAGGTGTATAGAAAATAGTGCCTTGAGTGCACAGTAGCTGCACTATTGAATATTGATCAAGTATCTTGGTTTTCATCCAAGCAATGCCTGATACTAGTTTATATTAGTATAATTTTGTATCTCATCTAGTGTCTTTAATAGTAAATAGTCAACATTAACATCACTATGATATCTATATTTACCTTTATAACTTGAGTCGTTGTTAAGCCAGTTTCTGCTACAGCGCTTTCGATCATTTCGCGATAATTTAGACCAACACGGACTATTCCACGGCTGTAAAACCTTTCCAAAATATCTCTCTGGTTGTCGCTTATTCTAGTTCTCTTTCCTATCTCCATTTCATTGCACAGAGTTGCAAGTAGACTAGAAAATCTGCTAGAAATGTTTTCAAATATGGCAGCTCAAAGCTCGAGAAGAACGTATGATAGAAAGACGATTGTGATTGTTTTTTATAATATAGCATTTGTAAATTCTGAACGCTGATTGGCTAAGAGCCGTGTTGATATAACTCCATGTCAACACGGGAAATTTTCCGCCGCTTGTAAACACGGAAATTTTTCTTATTCTTCGGGCTTTTGACATTGCTATATTATAAAACAAATATAAAACTTTTTTCCGTATTGATATATTGTTATATCAACACTCGTGGAAGTTGGGAAAACTCGAAATTGTGTGAAAACACTCCGCCCTTCGGGCGTCGTGTTTCCACACAATTTCTCGTTTTCCCAATTTCCACTCGTGTTGATATAACTGTATATCAACACGGAAAATGTTTTATATTTGTTAAATATATAATGATATGCGAAAGCGTCAGCGTCAGGTAGCGCAGGCGATAGTCTGGCACGGGTAATACCGAATATTCTCAATTGAGAACATATGTGTAATACCCGTTGAGGTGTATGCTAAACAGGTGATCCGTGTTAGTTACAGTTGCATGACAAACATGAAAAATCCCATCCGTAAACATAATCGTAAAAATAATACTCAACCGAAACACAAAACGAACACCAACTGCTAGGGTAATACAATCATCCATACCAACGGTAATAACAACACCTACAAAAAACGACACGTCAATGTGCAACTGCCAAAAACCCGCCAACTGTCCATTTGGTAAAAAATGTCTTACTGAGAGCATCGTATACAAAGCCGAAGTGACAACCAGCACTGCCAACAACCAGGAAAAGAAAATATACGTTGGCATAACGGCGGGCGATTTCAAAACAAAATACCGCAATCACACTAAGTCTTTCCGACATGAAGAATACAAGAGCAACACCGATCTGTCCAAGTACGTCTGGACACTGAAGTCCGAAAAAAGTCAGTGTACCAATAAAGTGGTCCATTATGAAGAAAGTCAAAGCATACAAACCAGGATCTAAACGGTGTAATTTATGCCTCGAGGAGAAACTACTTATTATGAAAGCGAAGAAAACTGAATGCCTGAACAAATGCTCTGACTTGTTTTCCAAATGTAGACATGTAACCAGATACCTGCTTAATCAAGTTGTAAAATGATAACCTATATTTATTATGAATATTGAATAATATTTGTCAGTTGCCTGATGATCGCGTAAAGCGTGAAACTTAGAGTAGCGACGCAAACATTCAAACCTTGACTGAATTAATTCTCTACCTTACGTCAACTCATCGATACTCTACCGCTCTTCTACCTTACGTCAACTCATCGACTATTTTTTTGAATATATAGTCTTCAGTATATATATATATATATATATATATATATATATATATATATATATATATATATATATATATATATATATATATATATATATATACACTGTTAATTTCAAGGAGTTATTTTAACTCCACCATAGGAGTTAAAACTACTCAACTCGGGAGAGTAAAAATTGTGGAGTAAAATCTACTCCCGAAATAGAGTTAAAACTACTCCACTTCGGCGCGCATTCTACAATTTACTCCATCAGGAGTCAATTTAACTCCGCTGGAGGAGTAAACTAAACTCGCTTTTAGGAGTAGAAATTATGGAGTAATTTGTACTCCTTAATTTTACTCCAGGGCTCGTTTCAACTCCCAAAAAAGAGTAAAATTGTTCTGGATCTGGAGTAAATTATTACAATATATAATTAATGTGCCTGAGAATCCAAGAGTTTTTCTGTTGGAGGCTATACTCTATTAAAGTATTGAATACAGTCAGATGCGAAAATCACGAAGTTCGAGATGTAAATTCTTTTTTTTTTAATTTTCCGTTATTGGTTACTCGAATGTTGCTAAGTCAGATTGATGCCATTGATGTATTATACTGTACGCGGCGATCGAATGTAGCCAGAAATTGTCAGCGAGTCATCTATATTTTTTATTTGCTGCCTAAATCTGTAATTGGAGCGTGTGAAATGATCTGCTGCTGCATTCTGCTGAATATAATTTGCGACAAGTGGAAGTTCCAGATTTTCAACCAATTAGCATGTTTAGAATATATCACGTGTGGTAGTAATTCATATCTACTTTTAAAGTTGCAAAGACCTAATAAGATACATGGAATTTGTTTTCAAAGGTATGTTTATTGTGTATTTACTTATTTGTGTGCGAAAAGTTACTTGATATACTGTATAGTTATATTTTTAAATCGAAGACGAAGGCCTGTATTTTAGTCGCTTCGCCGCCGATTTGCCGATCTAGATGTTAAGTTTTAATTTTCGATTAATTTGTATTAGCAGAAGTCCATAAGTCTAATCTACAGTCTCTACTTATTTGTGTTGTTAGCCCCGTTTACACGAGCAAATTTTATTTGACAAATTTCATTTCATCAAAAGCATTTGTTGTTCAAATAAAGTTGTCACAAATTTATCATCTACACGAGCAAAATATCTCTGACATATGAAATTTGTCAAATAAAATTTGCTCGTGTAAACGGGGCTTTATTTGTGTGATATACATGTATGTTGTATTTCGTGTTAAATGTGTATACTTTAATATATATGTGATCTGTTTGAAATGCAGTCACATTTGACAGCATTGCAATAGCCCGTCTAATATTACCCAGTGTATGGCTTGTGCTTGCTATGGTAGCCCTCCTATCGGCTATCAGTCAGCCTAAAACATGTGTAAGGGGCTGCTTATATGGAGGCGAGCCGCTCAGGTAACCTGGCTATAGCTCGCTTTCCCTGGATGAATGTCTGGTTACATGTATGAGCCTCTTTAGATGGGCAGACTTGCCAAAACAAATCACCCAGACTGAGTTATATAGTACAAGCACATTTCCCAATAAAGTGAACCAACAAGTGATCAATCACTCATACTTTTGCAGACAGTCTCGAAATGTATAAACTGACAAAAACAGTCACAGAGATCTTTTTACCCAGCTGGGCCGAGGGGTAATACCATGCCAAATCGTGGGTGATTGTATATAATTTATATGGAAAATCCTAGCTTGGCATTAGCAAGATTTTGGGACCATGAATTTTGGGTCAATTATGCACTTCTATTTTAAACACCCTTTACCAGAAAAGTTGTATTCATTTGGATGATGTTAGTTCAATTGCATGCTTACATTAAATGAGTAAAAGCATTTGAATTTTGTATTTCTTGCTTTGTATGTATGCAAAAAATCAAAAATCGCAAATTCATTGTCAATCAATCAACAATTTTTATTTTGTGTGTGTTGGTGTTATGTACTCAGACCTTGAATATATGATGTTTGTGATGTTACTGTGAGTGTGCGTCCACACCGGGCAAGCTGAAAAGTTAGCTTGGCCACAGTGGGAATCGAACCTGTGACCGTGGCCAAGCTAACTTTTCAGCTTGCCCAGTGTGGATGCACACTCAGTGAGAGTCAGTGGTGTAGCCAGCCCGACAATTTAGTCCTGCTATGCAAATTATTATCATTATTCATTTCTCTAGAAATTTATTGTTTTCACAGTCAATGAACATGAAAATATTTGCATAGCGGGACCAAATAGTCGGGCTGGCTACGCTACTGGTGAGAGTAACATCACAAACATCATATATTCATGCACCTGAGTACATGACACCAACACACACAAAATAATCGAATCATTGAATACCCCTGTACACTGATATCGAAGGAACTAGACTCAGTTCCAAAATATCATCAACTCGAACAGACTTGACCATGTAGCTCAGTTGGCAGAGCATTGGACTAGTATCCCAAAGGCCGCAGGTTCGATTCCCACCGCGCCCAAACTAACTTTTCAGCTTGGCCGGTGTGGATGCACACTCAGAGTAACATCACAAACATCAATCAATAATTTGCTGCTGTTATATATCAGCCTTATATATTTTTTTCTTACTAGGGATTCTCATTAATATATGGATTTAACAAAAGCTTCCCAGGAGAAGGCAAGTTGTCAAAACAAGTGGTATTATATGTAATCATTAATGGCATTCTAAGAACTTCATGGTCTATTTGGAAAATGTTATTCTTTTGCTGGAGAGCATTTTTGTGAATTACCAAACCATGCAAGGGATGGAGTTGCCGACTTGTGGTATACAGCTTGTTTTGTACTAAATTTTTACTAATGGACTTGCTTGACATGTTTGATTGAGAAGTGACACTACGTACATTTAATACATGGAGTATATTTTACTTGTAAAGATTCTACATTGAACAGAATATTTACCCTTTAAGTGGCAATTTGCTTTACTTTTTTATTTTTTCTGTCAAATGTGGTCAGACAATTTTTGCTCATTAAGGAGAGTGCTGCCACTTAATGGGTTAAAGCTTTTCTGTAAATATAAATTTTTTGAACGATAACTATGTAATAGCCGGTACTGTGCTGGGAATGGAACCTGCTGCCCTACAGGTGATTCTGACCTCAGCTTTTTAACCGTCAAAGGTCCTGAAGCCCTAAGAGTCCATCGCCCTGACAGTCAATCAAGCTCTACTGTAACCAAGAGTTCATGTATATAATACTAGTGTCATCCTGGGCAGTTTATTTAATACACTACCAATGACACCACCATGGTATACATACAACAATTTGTGGTTACCTCTTGGCAAAAGGGCTCTTTAGGTCAGAGGGCTGCGGTAGAATTGCAGGGCTGCAGGTTCAATTCATGCTGACAGGCTTGTAATTGTATTGCACATGTATTCATGATATCATTCTAATCATGTATTCATGATATCATTCTAATCAATTTAGAACTTCATTAAAATATTATAGGGCATAAGAGTATTTCATTATATTATGCTACAGCAAATTGTATTTCCTGCTATAATATACCTTACTTGTAGGGATAATAAATTATTTTGACTCGAAAAATGTCTTTATTGATTTCTAAAATTAGTTAAAGACTTTTCTTTACTCCGATATATAGAAGTCATTTTGTCTCCAAAGGAGTCGACTTGACTCCAAAAGTGGAGTAAATAAAAAAGGTACAGAACGACTCCTTTTTTGGAGTAAAATTTACTCCTTTATTTACTCCATTTTTGGTGTAAATTTTACTCCTTAAGTAGAGTTGTTTTTACTCTTTGAGGAGTAAAAACAACTCTACTTATGGAGTAAAATTTACTCCAAAAATGGAGTAAATAAGGGAGTAAAATTTACTCCAAAAAAGGAGTCGTTCTGTACCTTTTTTATTTGCTCCACTTTTGGAGTCAATTTGACTCCTCGAAATTAACAGTGCGTCGACCCAATTTGCATAATCAACCCTTTTTCAACTCTATCCAACGTCTGGAAGGTCATTTCTAACGTTGATTCAACGTTGGATAAACGTCATTTTGCCCGCTGGGAAGACCATTGTCGGATCGCGGATTTTGCTTCAAATTTGGGCGGATCGGCGGATTTGTATACCCCAAATAATGTAAAACTATCTTCTTATTTTCGCAGCGGGTGAGCGGCCACCAATCTTGGGCCTCTTGGCTTTTTTTTTATTTGTTCTTTTTCTTTTGAATGTATGATAATTCGCTTCGGCAGATAACATTTTCTGGGTCTGAATAATATACCTTATTACATTATTACCTATATACATAATTATACGTCAAACGCGGATAAACGCCCCGCTTGCCCCGCAATATAGTCTGTACCCAAATAAGAAAATCTATTGTATGCTGATAATTTTATCTATTTTAAAGCTAACGAAGATTTGCATTCCTGTTCCACTCTATCACTGTTTTGGAATGGTTCTTGGCAGGTACTGTATACTGTATGTTTTTTGTTTTTTTTCATAATGCATGCCATTGGGTCTGTCGGTCTGATAATTTTGAAATTTTGTTAAGTTTTCTTCTCAATAGTTTAATATCGATAATCTTCGGAGCAACGGCAGTTTATCCCTCAGCTGGCTTTGATGCTCGGGCTGCACTTGCTGCTTGCCACAATGAAAAGTAAGTGAAGACTAAAGTTAAAACTAGAAATGCAAAACCCCTCTCCCAAAATATTTTTGCATAAATAGGGTAAATATGTCAATATTTACACTTTTGCGAGCCCTCGTTTTCCTATTTCTGCTAAATACATCATGCAGATCTAGAGCCTTCAGTGCTAACCAAACCAAAAACCTGAAGTATCATCAGTATTCATAGTGTTTGTCATGGTATATACACGATCATTTTTATATTTTTTTGTACAAAATTGTAAAAACATGCAATTGAAAGAATATTATTTTTAATTACAAAATCATCAATTTCCAAAACATATGTCATATATGTTAGGTATATGTTATTTATATGCATTATTTATAAGCTGAAATTTAATGTAAAATTCTGCCTTATATAGTTATATTAGACGTTTTGTAAAACATTTTGAAATGTTCATAAATTAGTGATAAAATTAAACTGCTTTTAGCCTTTTTACCGATAAACTTTGAGTTTGAACTAAAATCATCAGTTACAAATCATGTGATTCTCTCATTCGTGAAAATAATTAGTATATTGGGTCATAGCCATGCGCCTGCGGTCATTGATGGACTTTTTCACTCCGCTAACCAACAGGTATCGAGATCTCCATTTTTCGCGTGTGTAAATAGCCGAGTGGAATTATCACCCTGGCTCGGAGATTACGTTTTTTTCCCTAAATCGTCTTTAATTTAAATTTCCCCCGACTTTTTTCTATATTCTCACATTTTTAGACATTAAATGGTTTTCGTTGGTTACTTGTCTGATGTTTTCATTGAAGTCCGTGTGCATTGTATAAAAAATTTAAAATATGTTTAATAATTATTCTTTTACTTACAATATCTTTTATCCAATACGTAAAGTTTGTGAAAATCAACTGCAAGCTGTTCTAAACATGACGCTAATTGTTTAGATGTACATCACTTTATGGCACGCCTACTATGTTTATTGATATGTTAAATCACGAGGATCTACCTAAATTTGATCTCACGTCTCTACGTACAGGTACGGTAAAATGAATGTGACCAATTCTTTCCAAAAATTAATATTCATTGATATGGTATTAAAATGTGTAAATTGTTATAGTCTGTAATAAAATAGAGTAGAATATTTTACCAATTTTACCCCTTGTATAGAAATCTTGGTGAAATATAAATTAGTAACAAATCCCTTTCTTGTTGGTTGCTGAATTCTAAATCTGTTTAAGATAATATTAAATTGGTTACTTAAATATATATTTCCACGTAGTCGGTTGAGAAATAACCATGAACAATTAAGTTACTTCTTTTGTATTAATTCAAGTCTTAATGACCACAAAATATTATTTCTTTAAATGTTTGAACATAATCATTTCAGGTATTATGGGTGGTTCCCAGTGCCATATTGAAATAATGAACGCGGTTATTGAAAAGATGCATTTACCTGAAATGACGGTATAGTATTAAACATCTTAATTCTCAGAAATATACTCCGTCAAATTTACGAAATTTAAACTCATGTCTAGCGTAACACAGATTTTCCATCTTCAATTCCTCAATTTCTGTCTTTGGAAAGAAGATGTTTTGTATAATGAAATATGTACTGTACGAACTAAGTGAAACAGTTTAGCGAGCATCATGCCAACGTCACAACACGCAAACACTGGCGAGGCTGGGGGAATTTGACTTATCATTCTATAAGACCTGCACACTCCACGGGGTGCAAGGTGTATCATTCGATAAATATCGAAATTTTGGGCATCTCGCTTCATAGAAAGTTCAAGACCTTTTGTATAGTGAAGATTTCGAGCATAAATTTTACACATTTTTAGACCTAAGTATACCTAAAATGCAACTATAGGCCCTCACCAGAAGGCCAATCTAAAAATCTACAAAATACCGTCAACATTTAGTTCTAGTTAAATGATAAAATGAGAAATGCTTATATTCTCATTTTATATCGCAGATTGCCTATGGTTTAACAGAACTGTCTACTATCTGCTGTCAAACTCAAGTTGACGATCCTGTTGATGTTAGAGTGTCAACTGTAGGGAAAATAATTTCAAGTACAGAGGTAGGGATCGGAGAGCGGATGATCGGCAAACCAAGAGAAGAGATGGTATGAACATTGTAGGCGTACAGGACAGGGGACAGGTGCCAAATGCTAGGAAAAATCAAGAATATTCGGGCAGATTTATCAGAAAATATGTTAAATTCAGGTGATATTATTACAGTTCTCTGTAAAAATTCGGGCAAACTTTCAACTGCCCCCGCCCCCAAGTATCACCCCCTAGTCTTTATCTCGTCGGGTATATCCATACAATTTCGTCGGCCAAATTTTGAAAATATTCGAGTGTCTCGGATTGAAAAGTAAAAATTGTAGGGAAAATTTTGATAAATTTACGAAAATATTAATGAATAATTTTACAAATTACGGTGAATTATTTTGGGAATTAGTGAAAAATGCTATGTCCGGAATTTTTGTTTAACCTCCCCGCCAACAATTTTGCGAAATGAAATATTAGTTAGCGACTGAAATGTTCGTCCGTCGCGAACGACTTCGTCCACGCCCTTTTGGTCGGGGGTAAAACAAGCTCAGGGACTGTAATCATGCATCAGAGGGAACGGATGTAATGATGTAATGTTTTCATAGACGTTAAACAGCCACTTGCCTGTATCTTTCTAGGGTAAGATAGTGAATGAACATGGTGAGATAATCCCTGTAGGTGAAGGTGGTGAACTGTGTGTGCGTGGTTTTGGTGTCATGTTAGGGTATTGGGAAGATGAAGACAAGACAGAAAGTATGATAGATGCCAGTGGGTGGTTACACACAGGGTAAACATAATTTTTTTTTTGTTAAAATGCGAACCAAAAAAGGATTATGAAACAAAAACGGAGTTCATATCCAACAATCATGGAGCAATCGCGAACACAGCGATTGCGAATACACGATTATTGTACAATAATCTTAAACGGTCTGTACCAGTGTAGGTAGTGCCGATAATAACAAAACTTTGGTTCGTATGAATGCAACTACCTGAAAATATGAAGAGAAATTCGACATTTCGAGCGAATGCCCAAGTAACTTCCCAACGAAGGGCCTTCGCTCGAAAGTCGAAACCAGGGGTGGCGCTAGACCTCTTTGAATGGGGGGGGGTGTAAGTGAATTTTGCCGAGTTGTCAAAGCAAATTTTGCCGAGTCACTACAATCACTAATTAATATATATTCCTTCTCAAGAATATTTTTTCCCCACAACATATCTCCCAATCTTATTTTGTGTTTAACCATCGTTCTTCGTTCCATTTTCCCCTAATTTTTTCATAAATTTCTCCTCATCTTAGCTATCATTCTTAATTTTTAATCGATGTCATTCAAATATATTTTTTTCTTCCTATCCAAATCCATGTTTTGCCGACTGGGATTCAATATTTTGCCAACTACCTGATGACTGGGAGGATGTTATACCCCCCCTTTAGTGCCGGCCCTGGTCGAAACGTCCGATCTCTCCTTGTATTTTTCAGGTTATTGTACAATACAATTAAATTAATGTCTTCATGTCGAATACACCTTTCCAGAAAGTATGTACTTAGCCTTGGCTATAGAGCAAATTTTCGGGATTAAAGTATCGAAGGTGACACTTTACGAAATCATATACCAGATATATTAGATAATATAAAAGACCTTTATATAAATAATTTATCGATAACAAGATAAAGCCTTTGTAACTAACCTTTATTAAAGGGCTTAAAGGGCTTGAAGCCGATATCCCAATCCCGAAAAGGCGAAAATGAGACTCCAATTAACCAAGGCTAAGTATTACAGAATATAGTCCACAGAATATGTATATATGCAGAATAGCCCTGTATTTAACATATTTCACATCTCTGGTTATATGCAGTAGCGTAGCCAGCCCAACGATTTAGTCCCGCTATGCAAATATTTTTGTGTTCATTGAGTGTGAAAACAATTAATTTCTAAAGAAATGAATAATGATAATAAATATTTTGAATTTGCATATAGCGGGACTAAATTGTCGGGCTGGCTACGCAACTGGTTATTATTATGGTATTCTAATTTGCTGATGATCTGGCACGTTTTTTACATATAAAGGGACAAAGCATCGATGGATGAAAACGGATATGTGAAAATTATTGGCAGAGTAAAGGTACTTCTTAAATTTTTCAAACCGTAGCTAGATTTTTGTATCTGCATGCGCAGCGGATATAATGCTGTCGCCTTGTTGGCTTTTAGTTCCCTAACCCAAACTTTTCCGATGAGTCTTCGGTGTGACGTGCTGCATCAACTGATTGCAATTTTCGATCTCCGTGTTGCGAAGTCAATGTATAGTATCAAATTTCCTTTCTTAGGACATGATCATAAGAGGAGGAGAGAATATCTATCCGAGCGAAATTGAACAATTTTTACACCATCATCCAAAAATTCAAGAAGTAGAGGTACTCTGTAAACAATTGGTCTACATCATGCGCATGAATACAGTAAAAAATACAGTACTTCCACCCTCACTGCAACTCTATAAAACGCCCCAGTTTCCCTGTTAGAATTTGCATTCATTGGAGCACAAGGAAGAATAGTTTAGTTAGAACCGATAGATCTTAGTTTATAGTTTAACACCTAGCAACTTTAGGAATAACTGCGGATTAATTAAAAAAAACTTAATTCTTCTCGTACACGCAGTAAGTAAACTATGTTATGTGAACTACATACATATGCATGTATGATTAGCTACAATCTTGGACAAAACATCTGTGACACTTACAGTGTTTTCATCCACTTTTTTAGAATTATCGCAAAACTAAGAAAACTCTCCCCCCTTCCCCCACCATTCAATGTTGATTGCATCCCCACAACATATTTAAAGTGATCGTAGTATGTTCAACATTGTTTTGGGGAGCGGGGGAGGATCATTACATGAAGAAATATCGCAGTCATTATAGTAACGTTCAAGAGCAGAATTTTAAGCGAGTGTTGCAGATGGTTTTGTCCAGGATTGTAGGTTGAAAATGACCCATGTAATCAGCGCCTTACGCAGGCATGCAGTCTGTCTAAGTTAGTTAATTAAGTTGATATCTATGATTTCCGCATGCACTTATGAATATATTGAGTATTTCTCCGTACGTATGTAGTAAGGCGAGACTTTTTTTATTTATTGGTTTACGGATTTTTTAGGCACTAGCCGGGCACAATCCCGAAAAGTCGGGCAAATTTCTTTCCGCCCCCCTGATTTTTTCCTTCCGGTACGCCCATGGATTTGACTTTAAAAATAAAAGGTCGGTAGGTCGGAAAAAAATTAAAAAAAAAACGAACTGAGTATAAATGAGAACCGAAATTAATAATCTTTATAAAATATTTTAACGTCAATTTAAAAAAAACAACAAAAAAACGTGGCTAATCTACACATTGATTGTCACAACGATAACATGAGCCAGCAGTACCTAGAGTCAAAGTTCACTTGAAGTGTACTTCATGTCAGAACCCCAAATTAATTAAAATTAACTAAAATTGTAAATTTTATTTTTTTATTTTTCACTTTCTGAATATTTACGGTCGGCGGATCCGTAAACCAATGAATAAAAAAAGTCTCGCCTAATATATACCTCAACCCCATCAACCACCTAACAATGATATCATGATCAGTGCTAGAAAATGTCCTGCAGCGCCAGCAGCACCGCTGCCAGAAAACCTTCAACAAAGTATCTTCGCAGGAAATTTTCTTACGTCCCACAGGAATTTTCTGTCATCTTGTGTATTTGAATTCAACATAATTTGCTTCTTTAAAAAATCAAAATCCGTTTTTAGATCGACATTTTCATGCGTCGAAAATGAAGTTTACCACTCTGGAACCTATGGATGAATTTTTACATTAATTTTGGTTTGCGCAGGAAATTTTTATTTTTGGATTTCGCTGCCAGGAAGAAATATATTTTTCTACGCCTGATCATGCATGCGTTGTATGTAAAATAGTGATATTTTCTTCAGGTTATTGGAGTGCCAGACAAGAGGTTAGGTGAGGAGGTTTGCGCGTGGATAAGGTTAGTTATTCGGTTAGTTAGAATATTTTGAATCACTATAGATATATTTTATTGATATACTGTAGCTCTATATTTTCCATCAAAATTTGCGAAGAAAAAGCCATGGGTAAGAGCCATGGTCATCGTTTCTTTCGCCCGAATCCATAACGGCCAGAGTTAGTGTTAGTAATAATTACGAACAGGAGTCAAAGGTGAGTATATTCGCCTTATTTTAATGAAGGAAGGAAAACTAGATCATCGTTATATTTTCGACATGAATTTAATCTGGTGTTGTTGTATTGTATGCAGATTAATGAAGGGTGAGACCGCTACAACAGATGAAATAAAGGAATTTTGCAAAGGAAAGGTAGAGCATGTTTCTTATTTGAAATTGTTAACACTAATAAATGTACAAATAATATAAGATTTTTGGCAAGACAAGAGCGTATAGGAGAGAGCCTGGGAACGAGGTTGCTCAAACGTACTGCTATACAGCAGTTATACAGTCCTTTGGTCTATGCTTTTCCTCTCGGCACGATGGATGTACATAGTGTACAAAAAAGTGCACAGTGAGACCAAAAAAGACGGCTGTTTCTATAGGTTTAAAACTGCAATACAACAT